CAAAGAGTTTCTTCACCTGCTTCTGGGACAGACTCTCCGCGTTCTTCCCTGCCATGGCCGCGCAGTGCGTGACGGCGCGGTCGCGTCGCGAGTATGACCTGCAGGACTCGCTGCGGCAATCCCACGAAGGGGGAACTTTGAGCCAGGGCGCTGCGTGCGAGGCTGGCAGATGGAACCTCGCAGCGGGGCAGCGAAGCTGGGGCCTTTGTCTCGCCTTCGAATCGGCATCTTCGCGCGGGTGCAAAAGCAGCGGCCCGACCTCCTCGCGCCCGCCGCGTCAGATCGATGGGCCGTCATGGGCCGTCTGCCACGCTTTTTTTCACGATCGGCCAAATTCCCAAAACCTGCGGGGGGGCGATAACCCCGCTGCACGCTCCAAAACCGCGCCCGAGGCCCTGGCTATTGCAGGGCGACGGAAAGCACGACGCGCGCAGCGAAACTCCCACGGCCTCCAGAAATCTCCAAGACAGGGCCGCGAAGCTCTGAGGAAGCCCCAGGAGCTTTCGAGTGCATTTTCGCCCCTCGCCCCATCCCTTCCCCCGTCGCACCCCGCGCCCCTCGCCCGACCCATGATCCGAACGTTGGCAGGAAGGAGAGGCCGCGAGAGGCCCCGTGCATCAGAGCTGTCTCGGCTTCTTCTCGGCCGAGGCCGAGGCGGCCTCGCTCGCCCGAGCTACCTTCCCGGCGGCAGCGGCCTGGGCGCCCCTCATGCGCCCCAGCGTCTTCATGTTCAACGCGCCCACCATCTCTTGCACGTAGAACTGGGAGGCCCACCGGCCCATGCGGTGGATCACGTGGCCCAGCGGGGACAACTCGCTGTTCATGATTTCGCAGATGTTTGTGGGGAACTTGCTCAACAAGGCTGTTGGCCTCCAGCCCCGGCAGGCAATGTTCGCTGCACCACTTGCCCACGTGCCCGCTGGAATGGTAATCGTCGACAATGTACGCCGTCTCGGTTGCCAACCGCGCAGCCACGGCGGTGCCCTCCCCGTTCTTCTCCGCCATGAGGCGCAGGTGGCACGCGTCGTCGTGGACGACAATCTTGAGGTCGGGCATGTGGGCCGCCACTATGGCGAGGAATCGGTACCGCTGGCTGAGGGGCTCAGCGCACATGAGCTCTTCCACGTGCGCCAGAATGCCAGACGCGGATACGACCGTCAGGAAGCCCGCTGCGCGGGCGGCTGCAACGATGTGCGCGTCCGTCTCCTTGCGCGTGGAACACTCGGAAGCGGCGCGTGGCCCGTTCGAGCTCCAGGATGCCATGAAGCTCTTTTCTGTGCGCCCTTTCTTGCCAGCCGCGCCCTGCTTTCGAAGCGCCATGCGGCGAGCCCGGCGCGCTTGGATGCGCGCGTCAGCCCCAGCGCATCTGGAGAGACAGCGCACGCGGGCTGCCAGCGACGCGCAAAGCCTTTCAGCTGCACCTCCAGGGGGGACCAATCATCTGGCCCATGCAGGGCTCGGCGCAACCGGTGGTTGCATACAGTCTCGTGCGGCGCTGGCGGGTCAGCCACTAACGCCTTGGCATGCTTGCAGCACATCGCCCCCTTCCCATGCGGACGGTCTGGGCACCCTCGCAAAAGGTATTTGTCCAGCTCGGCGCAGTAGACCACGTGAGAGCAAGGCATGCCGCACGCTCGGCGGTACAACTTGGCGTTTCCATCGATGGCAAGAATGTCTGCGCGGTCTCCAGACCAACGGACCTGCTCCAGACGCCGGCGGAACATCAACGGCCCGTACCAGCGCCAACTCTTCTGCACCAGGGCCTCAACGGAGAGACGCAGCAAAACTTTTGCCAACTCGTCAAATTTCTCGGGTGCCCCCTTCTGGCATCGCTTCCACAAAAGCTGCCGCACCCAAGTGGAACTCAAGTTCGCCCTTGCCCGCGCGAGCACGCCTGGGCCGTGCATCATGCGGAAGATGGTAGCCTCGCCCATGAAAGAGGAACGGTGAACCAACAGGCGGCACCGCCACTTCCGCAGCCACAAAACGGAAACGCCGAGACTCTTTGACAACAGCCAAAAATCCCGATGACTGAAATCAGCATCGACACGTTTCTTGTACGCCCTGGCGTCGCCGGGTACAGGCTCTTCTAGGAAACCGCACCAATACCGTGTTCGGCGCCTCACCTCTTTTGTCTGGCCGCTGGCAGTCTGCACCGTCATCACATCGAAACAACGGGAACACCACCGGGTATAACAGCCCAACTGACACAGCACATTGTGAGTGAATCAACGTTGGGTGAAACAGTTGGCTGTCCTTCGCGGCCCCAAACGCAGCACTGGAAAGGCATTGCGTTTCAAAGCCATGGCCTCCAGTACGCCTGGCCGTCTGTGTGCCACGTCCACTTGAAGCCCTCCTCCGCGGCCCAGCGTTGCCGCAGCTCCAAGCTGCGAAGTTCCGTGCACGCGTGGTTGGAGCAGCACGGACACAGGGGAGGCCCCATGACGGGCCGCCTCGATCCGAAACATATTGTGCGCGGAAGGGGTGGTGGTGATAATGATACTGGTAATGTTTGTCGCCGTGTTCTTGCAATGCATTAATTTGTTATCGATTGGACTGCAATCGATTGGACTGCAATCGAGTTGTTCCCCACATCCTGAGTGGGGGCCTTGTTTTCCCAGAACATCCTCTCCTTTTCCCTCCCGCCTCCCGCCTCCCAGTGCCCCTCCCACCCCTCCAGGGAGGCCCCGCCTGAGCGAGGAGGGTATCGGAAACCCATACTGTTTACATGGTTTCGCGCTCCTCCCACCCCTCCAAGGAGGCCCCGCCTAAGCGAGGAGGGCACCGGAAGCCCATAGTATTTACATTGTTTCATGCCCCTCCCATCCCTCCAGGGAGACCCCGCCTGAGCGAGGAGGGTATCGGAAACCCATACTATTTACATGGTTCGTGCCCTTCCCGCCTCTCCAGGGAGGCCCCGCCTGAGCGAGGAGGGCATCGGAAACCCATACTGTTTACATGGTTTCGAAACCCTCCCATCCCTCCAGGGAGGCCCCGCCTGTTTCGCGCCCCTACCACCTCTCCGGGGCGGCCCCGTCTGAGCGAAGAGGGTATCGGAAACCGACACCATTTACGTGGTTTCGCGCCCCTCCCACTGACATGGGTGAGGAGGAAGAGAACATTACCTATCCATCTCACGTCTTACTCCTCCCACTGAGGAGGGTGAGGAGGAGGGGGAGTTCTGCGATGAGGAAGGTTTCGTCATGATGATGGTGATGACGATGGTTATACTGCTGTTCACGATGACGATGACGATGGCGATAATGGTGATGGACGATGACGATAACGGTGATTATGATGATGATGGTGATGATGCTGATGATGATGACGATGATGATGATGATGATGATGATGACAACGATGGCGACGACGACGACGACGACGATGATGATGATGATGCAGATGCTGGTGATGATGACGATGCCGCTGCTGATGCTGACGTTGCTGGTGCTGTTGATGATGATGACGACGATGATGTTGATGATCGTGACGTCCACGATGATGCGGACGATGATGATGCCAAGGACGGTGATGGTGATGATGATGACGATGCTGATGATGATGACGATGGTGGCTACGACGATGATGATGATGATGACGATGGCGCTGACGATGATGATGATGATGCTGCTGATGATGAGGATGATGATGATGATGGTTATGATGATGCCGATGATGCTGACGATGATGCTGATGATGATGATGATACTGATGATGATGACGATGATGCTGATGATGACGACGACGATGCTGGTGATGGTGACGGTGATGGTGATGGTGATGATGATGATGATGCCGAGGATGAGGAGGACGAGGAGGAGGAGGACGAGGAGGAGGACTCGCTTGAAGGAGGAGGGTCGCGGACAGCATTACTCTTTACCAGGTTTCGTAGGCCTCCCCCCTTCCAGCGGGGCCCCGCCAGAGCGAGGAGGGTATCAAGAACCCGTACTATTTACAAGGCTTCGTTTCCTGAACACCTGTCCTCCCTCCTCCTTCCTTTCGTCTGCCCTCTTCGTGCGTACTTACTCGTTCGATGAGCTTCTCCTTCGTGTTGATGCTGTCGTACCCCATGGGCCCCACGAAACCGTTTATCTTTATGTGGGGAACTCCGTTTGCATAATTTTACAATTGATTGGACTGCAATCGATTCCACTGGGTTTGCACTTGATTGGCTTGCAATCGATTGGACTGGAACCGCTGGGGGGGCGCACAGGGCAGCGACGAGGAGGCGGCGACGGGACGGTGACGGCGAGCAAGGAACCGCCAGACCGACCCTCCGGCCAAGACGACGGGCGGCGACGACGCAGCAAGGGGGGGCGACGGCAAGGACGGAAAAAAACCAGAGCGCCCCTCAAGCCCAGACGACGGGCAGCGACAGGGCGGCAACGGCGAGGAAAGAGCCGCCAGACCGCCCCTCAGACCCATCTACTAGGAAAGAAAGAAGGCCCCCTAAATGCAAACACTGTTTGGGAAATGTCATGATGTTCAATGATGTTCATCAGCCGGTGCCTGTGCGGGTGCCAGTGCCGGTGCTGGTGCCGGTGCGGTTGCGGGCGTGCCGGTGCCGGCGCCGGCGACGGCGCCGGCGACGGCGACGGCGCCGGTGCCGGTGCCGGTGCCGGTGCGCCGGTGCCGGTGCCGGTGCCGGTGCCGGTGCCGGTGCCGGTGCCGGTGCCGGTGCCGGTGCCGGTGCCGGTGCCGGTGCCGGTGCCGGTGCCGGTGCCGGTGCCGGTGCCGGTGCCAGCGCCAGTGCCGGTGACGGTGCCGGTGCCGGTGCCGGTGCCGGTGCCGGTGCTGGTGCCGGTGCCGGTGCCGGTGCCGGTGCCAGTGCCGGTGGCCGGTGCCGGTGCCGGTGCCGGTGCCGGTGCCGGTGCCGGTGCCGGTGCCGGTGCCGGTGGGCGAGAATCGCTCTATAGTGCAGGGGCCCCACCTACAACTGGAAGAAGACCCAGGTGTGCCGCGTCAACTACAAGCGCGAGGACCTGGAGACGCGTGGGGCCATGACTCCCAGGGCGCGGGCTGCCTACGACTGGCTCATGGTGCACATTCGCACCTATCGTCGGCACGCGATGCAGCAGAAGCGCATGCTGTCCTACCCGGGGGATGAGCGGGAGATGTTCATCGCGACCTACCGGCTGCTCCTGCAGAGCCGGGGCATCGAGGTTGCGCTCTTCCCCGTGCTCTTTTGGGAGGTCTATTCCGACAGCGACGTGCGGGGCTGGGCCGGGGACCGCAAGCTGATGAAGAGCTCTCAGCTCCCGTCTATGAAGAAGGCGTTCCTGCGCAAGGTGCACGCTTCGTCAACGGTGCCATTGGCTCTATCGAGACGGTGCTGAATGACGACAGGACGACCTTCACCGTGGTGCTGCTGGGCACTGAGCAGCGTCTACCCGTGCACCCTATCACCGACGGCGGTGACGACTTCTTGCCCTGCACTTATGCATATGCGACTACAACTCGCAGAGCGCAGGGGGCTACCCACATCGTCGGCGCGCTCTATTTCAACCACGCCTATCCACCTGAACGGGGCTACGGGTACGTGGGCACGAGCCGCTTCAAGCGCGCCGAGAACATCTATCACCTTGGCTGTATCCGTCGCACCGATTGGCTGCCTGTCAGCATGAAGCGCGATGATCCCGAGGAGCAGACTAGCCGGACGGCTCAGAGCGAGTCCGACGACGAGTACGGCCCTCGACTGCGGGAGATGGACACGGAGTCCGACTCTGAGGCCGGTTCTTCTGATGTCTGTTCCGATTGCGGCGAGGTGGACGAGAACCAGCGCGCCGCCATGTTCGAGGAGCTGGCTGCGAGTCCGGGCTCGTCTGATCTGTCCGCGTTCGCACCTATAGGCGTAGCTAATCTCATTTAAGAGCATACTGGCGCAACTTCCTTTTGCACGTGTCAGAGAAAATGTGAGAAAATGTGTCGTTCAACCAGTTGTCGTGCTATCATCCATTTGTCCTCGACATATTGTTTTCTATTGTCCTGTTTTCTTCAGCAGTGTTTGCACTTGCGCTGTCGTCAGTGCGCACTATGCATCCCGTGCTTTGCGGCTCCCTCTCGCCGCATGGCGGCCTGTTTGGGGAGCACATATGCATGTGTGTCTGGGACTCCTAGGCTGCTGTGCACTATCACTGTGCGTGTTAACGAGCATCACATCATTTTACTGCTACTTGCCCTAGGCCTATCCCGCCACTGTGCTATAGCATGGCATAGCATAGCATGGGTTCCAAGAAAGTGGGGACAGCTATGTGCGCGTCGTCCTTTACTGTCTTTGCCTTGGGCCCATCCCGCCAATGTGCTATAGCATGGCATAGCACAGCATGGGTCCCCCAAAAGTGGGGACCCCTATGCGCGCGTTGCTTTTACTGTTACTTGCCCTGGGCCTATCCCGCCACTGTGCTATAGCATGGCATATCACCGCATGGGTCTCCAAAAAGTGGGGACCCGTATGTGTTGTGGGTTTACCTGCCCTAGGCCTGTCCCGCCACTGTGCTATAGCATGGCATAGCACAGCATGGGTCCCTAAAAGATGGGCACCCCTGTGTGCGCGTTGTCTTTTACTGTTACTTCCTTTATGCCTACTCCGCCACTGTGCTGTAGCATGGCATAGCTCAGCATGGGTCTCCAAAAAGTGGGGAGTCCTATGTGTTGTCTTTTATTGTATTTGTCCTAGGCCCATCCCGCCACTGTGCTATAGCATGGCATAGCACAGCATGGTTCCCCAAAAACTGGGGACCCCTATGTGCGGGTTGTCTGGTACTCTTACTTGCCCCAGGCCTACACCGCCACTGTGCTGTGGCATGGCATAGCATAGCATGGGTCTTAAAAAAGTTGGGACCTCTATGTGCGCGTCGTCTTTCACTCTTACTGGCCCTGGGCCTATTCCGGCACTGTGCTATAGCATGGCATAGCAAAGCATGTTCCCCAAAAAGTTGGGAGCCCTATGTGCGCGTCGTCTCTTCACTGTTACTTGCCCTAGGCCTATCCCGCCACTGTGATACAGCATGGCATGGCACAGCATGGGTCCCCAAAAAAAGGTATTCGCCGATGCAGCCTTTTCGAATCGGGTGTCCCAGGTGGGCAGAGATTCTCGTTCTATAGAGCGTTCCGAGGATGTCCCAGCCCGCGAATCCCATGCCGCGCTGGGTTCCCATGGCGAACGTTACGTTGACTCGTCCGCTATGCTCATCGCGTTCATCACCTGGTACCGGCGGCAGAGCCCCCCGGGTCGCATGTTCTATGCCATGGGAATGCACCTGATCATGACGCAGGTCTGGCATGGAGCCATTGGCTCGGTCACCGACTCCGAATGGGTTGAGGATCACTATATTCCTCTTCAGCGCGTGCTTTGTGATGGTATACGTTGCAGGCGCTGCCGATCTCATGGGGGCAATTCTATTCTCCCACATGGTTACATCTTTCGCTGGTTCAGCCCCCTGTGGGAGTCGCTGTACATGAGCTTCAGGAACCCACTCCTGAACTCGTGGGTTCCAGCGGATGGGTTTCTGTACGATGATCCTGCCGCGGGCGCCGACTATCGTGGCGGCGTTGCGCGGGACCAGAATGGGCAGTGCCTGGTTCCGCGTAACAGGTGGGCCCACACCGCCGCTATCATGGGCATCGAGCCACCTGATGGATTGGACTATGCTCTGGACCTTACGTTGGACATTGCATTGGACCATGCCTTGAATCACCTCCATGAGTTGGAAATAGCCGTGGATCCTCTCTTTGAAGAGGCGGACGCTGGCGACCCGCAGGCCTGATCCGTCCAGCGGATGAGCAGTCAGGGCTGTTTCAATGATTCCACTTGGTCTCTTTTTCCTGCCACGCAGTTCCGCTTGCGTGTGTCCCAGAGAAGGTGCTGCTTCTATGCCTCGCCTTCGTGTTCGTGGTTGTACTTTCACGAGTCATGTTACGTGTTAGGGTATTGCAGGACAGATTTATCCCTAGCAAGCGGGGCCTAACTATCCCTGATCGTAAGTGTCAGGGTCGCGATCTGCGCATGCTGGGACCTTCTCTGTGCGGGTATGTATTCGCGTGGCCTGGGAACTATGGAAACAAAAAAAAGGGCCCCAGACTCTGTAATAAAGTGTGTCTTAACCATCCAGTTTGTTCTGAGTGTCCCGACTGAACTTGCCACACTGTGCCTATCCAGTCGCACTGTTCGTTATGCATTGGGTTGTATTTCGGGGTTTCGTATACGACTGGATTCGGGCTACCAGCCAGGGACGCTATCCCGCCACCGCGCTATAGCATGGCATGGCACCGCATGGGTCCCCACAAAGTGGGGACCCCTATGCGCGCGTTGCCTTTTACCTCTACTTGCCCCATGCCTTTCCCGCCACCGTGCTATGGCATGGCATAGCTCGGCATGGGTTCCCCAAAAGGTGGGGACTCCTATTTGCGCGTTGTCTTTTACTCCTTCCTATCCCAGGCCTATCCCGCCACCGGACTACAGGGTTTCCACAACGTATTAGCGTCTGCGGGTGTCGCCGCGGTTCTAATTGGTTCCCGCCCGCGCGGCTTCGCTACGATCTCTCGTGAAGCACGTGGGATTCGCGTCGCGACGGCAAGATGTCGGGCCTGCCGATGCCGCGATCCCTCGCAAAACACGTCGGATTCGCGTCGCGACGGCTTGCGCGGAGCGCTTGTCGGGCCACCCCGAAGGCGCTTCCGCTCGTGCAGGCTCGCACGGAATGCTTGCCGGGCCGCTCCAGAGCCGCGCCCGCTCGCGCAGGCTCACACGGAATGCTGTTCGGGCCGCTCCGGAGCCGCTCCTGCTCGTGCGGCTCGCACGGGATGCTTGTCGGGCCGCTCCGGAGCTGCTCCCGCTCGTGCCAGCTCGCACGGAATGCTTGTCGTGCCGTTCCGGAGCCGCTTCCGCTCGCGCCGGCTCGCTCGGAGCGTCGGATATGCTTCGGCGCGCCCACCTGGCGCTCGCCCAAGCTTGCGCCGGATTCGCTTACATCGTTCGGCATGGTATCGTTCCATTGTCTTTCGCAATGGCACCATTCGAGCTTGCTCAATACGTGATGTTTTTCGTCTTGAGGGTTTAGGGTTTAGAGTATAGGGTTTAGGGTCCACTAGCCCAAACTTGCAGCCCACTTGACCGTGTCCCACCCACCCATGACCCAAGACATATTGATCTCGATGCGGTATCAACACGCGACTCGCAAAACGACGACGAGGACGACACCGAGGACGACGACGTTATTGTTTTCAAAACGACGACGACGCGGCCGCGCAAAGACACCTGGGACGCGGCTGCAACGGCGATGCGGCCCGCGCGCGTGACGACGCGATTTGGGGGACGACGCTCATGCAGCGGTGCATCGCTGGCGGCGTTCGTAGGGCGCTGGCGGCCGCCGAGAGGTAAGCGCGGCGCGCACTGGCACTGGTCCCGGCAAGGCGCGCGGGGGACGACGCTCATGCAGCGGTGCATCGCTGGCGGCGCTCGCAAGGTATTCACGGCGCGTCTGGCACTGGTCCCGGCCAAGCGCGCGGGGGGGCTGCGGAGCGGGCAGCCACGGGCGCGCGGGGGATCTGACGGCGCGAGGAGGCCGTGCGAATCGTCAACCCCGCGGCCGAGCGGCGCCTGACCGGCCGCGGCGCCGGTGCTGCGGGCCGCGACGGGATTTGCAGATCCTCCCAGAAAGCCATTCCTGGCGCTCCGAGGGCAAGGATCTCCGTGAGGGGTGCGCCAAAATGGGGGAGGGGCGGCCGAAGGGGTGACTTTAAGAGGTTTTATGATTAAAATATTTATAAGCTCTTCGCTTTTAGGGTTTAGGGTTTAGGGTCCACTAGCCCAAACTTGCAGCCCACCTGACCGTGTCCCACCCACCCATGACCCAAGACATATTGATCTCGATGCGGTATCAACACACCGCAAAACGACGACGAGGACGACACCAATGACGACGACGTTGGTATTGTTTTCAAAAGGACGACGACGCGGCCGCGCAAAGACACCTGGGACGCGGCTGCAACGGCGATGCGGCCCGCGCGCGTGACGACGCGATTTGAAGAACCACGTTTTTTGACGCGAGTCCCTGTGCGATGCAGGGACGCCGCCCAGCGGCGGAGGATGTTGTGTACCAGCCTCCACGTGGCGACCCCTGGGAAAGGGCACGGGGGCGGCTCTCAATCCGAAAGGGTCGAGGTCGAAACCCTAAACTGCAAGCCACGGGCGGTGCATCGTCAGAAGCCCGTGGCGCCTGGCCGAGCGATCAGCGAGTCCGCCCATGCGCGCACGCCGCACCGACGAAGCGCGTAGCGCTGAGGAGGATGCGCTCCCCCGCGGGGATGCCGTGTGAGTGCTCCGAGATATGAATAGAACCCTTAACCCTAGGCCCAGCCAGTGGCTTCGCTGCGCTTGGTCCCATCCCCTGGGGCTCCAAACCTATGAAAATACAGCATGCGGCGCCCTTTCGGCCGTCCGTGGGTTTGCAAAACATATGAAAATACAGCATGCGGCGTCCTTTCGGCTGGATCAGAGTCCCAGGCGCTCCCAAGCGCTCCCAGGCGCTCCCAGGCGCTCCCAGGCGCTCCCAAGCGCTCCCAGGCGCTCCCAAGCGCTCCCAAGCGCTCACAGGCGCGCCCAAGCGCTCCCAAGCGTTCCCAAGCGCTCCCCAGCGCTCCCAAGCGTTCCCCGGCGCTCCCAAGCGCTCCCCGGCGCTTTCGGCACGCTCCCAAGCGCTCCCAATGCACCCAGGCGCATGGCGCTCCCAGGCGCTCTCAGGCGCTCCCGGCAAGCTCCCAGGCGCTCCCTGGCGCTCCCAAGCGCTTCCAGGCAGGTCCCATCCCCTGGGGACAGCCTATACGTGCAAACACGCCTACGGCGGCCTCTCTGGCTGTGCTGGGGAGCGT